AAGGTAGTTTTATAAGTAAATAAGGAGCAATAAATATTTTTATTAAGTTATTACTTTGCCTAAAATGTTCCAAAGTACAGCATTAAACACATCTATCTCCAAGGAGACAAGCAGGTGATGCCATCAGACGAAGTTACAGGTCAAGTCTGTGGAGCGGGCACCCTGATCACAGTAAGAATACATTGTTTTCTAAGGTATCTAGTAATAAAACCACCTGCAATTAAATCTGAATTTCTATCTATCATGAAAGATAATGTTAAATGCCATACTGTGGAACCTTCCAGGCAAAGCGCCATGGAAACAAGCAGGTAGCACACCCTCCACCATCACAAAAGTTATAGACACCATAGAGCACCTTAAAAAACAGAAATTTTACATTTTCATTCAAGTCATCTGTTGCATAGGTTTACTGCAAATAACTGAGATGAAAAAAAAGATCTATGAAGTTTTAATTGGGATCTTTTCACAAACTAATCACATATGATAAAGCATTGTTTCCAAAAGACTGGGTCGCAAGAGATTTTTTTGGGGGTCACCTTATCACGATCTGCATGTAGGTCTGCAATATAGTTATATACATAGATCTGTGACCTTATTGTCATTCTGAATAAGAATTTCATCAGAATATCCTGTCCTCAGTAGAGCCAATATTTCTATGCCTAGTCCTTTCACTACTAAATATATGTGTGAATTGGGATTTTCTGTGTTCATCAAAATGAAGAGAAAGCACAGAAACAGGCTGATTATAAAAACACACACAGGCCCACCTATCTCATTAGAAAAGTTGAAATGTTAAGACATGTTCTGTATCATTTCTAATCTTTCTGTAATGATTTTATTGGCTATTTTGTTCCAATATTGCTGGTTCAGTTGAATGTTGAAAAGAAAAAGAAATGGGCTACATTTAATGTCCAAATAGGCGACTTATAGATCCTTTTATTGCTGGTTCAATGACAAAGACTTGAGTAATACTAATTGTTCCAAGAGACACGATCACTCAGTCAGCAATAAAATATCCTCATTAATGTTCAATAATGGTCAAATCCAAGTTTATTTTGAGATTTACGAATAATGTCTATTGACTTGTGTCGTGAAGGTTTGTGAAATACAAAAGTTTTTCAAAATATGGGTCCCCAGAAAAAAAGTTTGGGAAACACTGCGATAAAGCGTCCGTGATATCACATTTGCTCATTGTAAGTCAACTGTAAATGTTTTCTATCTACGCCTGTTCAGCTGTTTTAAACTGTCTTGCTTTTTCCTATAGGCTGAATACATGTTATGGAACGTTAGTAGCAACCCACAAGATTATATTTACCAATTTTGTCATTTGATATGAAATTCAATATACTCAAGTCATATTCCCTCCTGCTGTATCATTGTAGTACATGAATTCCACATTAAACACTGGGCACTCCTAAACAGCTGTCTTGTAATAATGACAAATAGTCTCCCTGGACGTGGAGTGTCGCATTAAACAGCTCTATGCTTAATGGCTTGGATAAATAGGCCATAAGTAGCACGGCGGAGCAGCATCCATGTCCGCGCTGACAGCCAAGCCGAGCATGCAGATAACTCGTGTCCGGGCGGAGTGACTGCGGAAAGCCCCCGTGTACACCCCCCCTTCTCCCACCTGTGCTCCTGATCATACCAAAGCGCTCCTGACGGATAACAAGCCTGCGCTGTTTGTTCAAGCCTGTGTTCCCCCCATCTCTGCATAAGCTAAATGCTAAATTATATTTGCCATTTTGTTTGCGGTGACACGCGACATCAATCACCTCCGTTTTTTTCACACTTCCTCCCCCTTATTCTTTAGCGCGGGGTTGAGAGGTGGGGTGGCGGGGACATAAAAAATTCATTACGCTTAGTGGCACATCAGCAAGGGAGAGATACGCCTGCAGAGGAGCGGGGTAAAAAAAAAAAAAAAAAAAAAGTGGGTGTTGATAATGATGAAGAATATCAAATGTAATACGGCCCAAGTAGCTGCCCCATCCAATTTGTCGCGCGCTGATCGCTTCCTCCGTGTCTCGCGTGGAGAAGGAAACAAGCGCCGCCCGGACTATGAAGCATCTCCTCTTCGCGACGCACTTCGGATGTGAGGAATACAAATGGCGTGAGAGGGGAGGGAGACGAGGGAGGGGGAGTGATTAACAGCGGAGGGAGCGAGGGGTCCGTGAGGAAAGGGAGAGACGGGCCTTTGAAGTTTGCGCGCTGACCAGGGCACCGGCGAGGCTAACACGGGAGCGCTAATAAGAGTTGTTCTGCGTGCGCGCTACACCCACAGTCATATTTCAGTGGTGTCATGGTTGAGTTCTTTAGCGCCTCGTGCATTTTAAGGAGATAGCTGAAATGAATGTGACTGCTATGTTTAGTTAGAGGAAGGTAAGGGTTTGGGACCTATCGTAGAAGCCAGAACTGACACTTGCGGTTGTTTTACAGTGAGTTTCGCCTTCACGGACCAAAGTTTCATTAGAAGGGCAGTGAAAGATTTGTATGTACGTAGGTATGTTCCTCAAGGTGAGAATATGTGACGGGTTTGTTCCCTTGGGCGATATGGATTCTCGTCTTTTAGCGAGATTTACCGTTTGAGACAGCCTCCTAGTAGTGTCACAATATTAAAATTTCAAACGTGATTTCGATACTAGGGAAATTGTTTGATACTTTATACCAATTTTAAGACCACAATGATAAAGAAAAAAGAAACACATGCATAAACGAATAGTGCTTTCTTTAAGTCACCATGTGGTTCTATACTGGTGTTGATAAAGTTCAGACTACACTAAAACTATTCAAGAAAGGTAAAATTTTGTCATGTTTACAAGATTTCTTCAGTATCAGTCCAGGTTTTAGTATTGATAAGTATCTGATTTTCATTAGACAAACGTATCACCTAGAATTTAAGGATGTATATTGTATTAAAAGTCTTTGTTGACCACATGACTTGAGGGCAAACAGGATTTAAGGATAGAAGGCTTTGACTGTTCTATGCAGAGTTTGCAAGTTCTCCCCGTGTCTGGGTGGGTTTCCTCCGGGCACTTCTGTTTCCTCCATCAACCCAAAACATGCTCAATAGGTTGCCCTGCAGCTAAGGTAGTCCTCACCTTGCTCAAGATCTAGAGATGGCTCCCTGGGCACTGCAATGAGGCGCCTGCTGCTCCTGACAGGTTGCCCCAGCGGGGTTGTAAAAATAACGTATTCATGGGTTTCAGGTAAATGATGCATTCCTGATATAAAGGATTGTGTGAGGATCTCCAGTCAGAAGATATAATATTTTGATTTGAATCCATTTTATTGCTGTAATAATGGAGAACTGTTGCTATGCGGAATCCTTGAAATCGGGAAGGAATCCTTATGTCCAAAACTGTGAATACCTTAACCTTACTTTTATAATTAGTCTAGTCATCACCTCTGCAAGACTGCTTTTATACATCTCCATTAAGCTAGCAGATGCACTCCTCGGACTGGGGACGCTGTAAACTTAAGCGGCTGTAGTGTGATTGCTCCCGGTGGCTGCGTGAATAGACGAGGTGCGGAGCTGGAGTACAGTTGGTGTGTCAGGGATGTCAGGAGTAGCTCCCCCCTGACAGGGCTTGATCACAGCTCTGATGGGGCTGCTCCGGCTCCCCTCCTTTCCTCCCCCTCCCTCTCCTCTCCTCTCTTCTGCCCCTCTCTCATTTCCATGGCTCTGACACATGTTGGTTTGCGTGGCTCCGTCGTCTGGATCGTGTAAGTCGCGTACAAGGCCGTGCCCTTTGATCCGCTGCCCTTCAGGAGGGGGATGTGAGCCTTAGTTCCTAGCCTAATCAAGGGGAATTCACGTGTTCTGGCTCTATTTCTAAGAACAAAACAATCCATTATTTTTGTTATTTTTCTTTATAATGAGATGGCAAATAAGAGAAATTGATAGCACGTCTGATTTGTGAACTAAACAATAAAAGTATTTTGTGAGAAAGGAGCGGGCTGGGTTGGTGCATTTATTCCTTTTACGGTTTTAGAGAAAAGGGGGCTTGTGTATAAAAGACTTTGTGAGGTTTGTTTTGGTTGCACGTCAAAGAGGTTGAAAGTCCTAACTTTGTCTTTGGAAAAAAGTTTGCCAGCTTGTGGCTTTGCTTTCATTGTTTTCCAAAGGAAGTTCATTGTGTATTTTCTTGTCCAGTGTTCTGAGCGAGTATTTCATGAACATCATAACGGTAAGTAACATGTTTCTGTAAAGCACATGCTTGGGTAAATGCAAAGTGAATTTTAATTTAACCATTATTATAAATCAAGAAGAACTATATATTGTTTCGGGGGGAGATCCACCACAATATGTCCATGTACATGTCATTGCTCCACAGTATGGCCTTAAAGCTTATCAATCTCTACAGAGACAAACAAGTGTAACCATCAGGCCAAGATACAGGTCAGATCTGTGGAAAGGCGGCACAGCTCACAATTGAATGCACATATTTTGTATAATATAAAGACCAGATAAAAACTGTATAAAGGCATCATAAGTTACAAAAAGGCTCATTTTGAGATGTAGTTTGCTTTGAGAATTGACGAAGACATTTGGAAACAACTGCAAAGACTTACCTATTATGGCCATGACCTGTTTGAGTTGGAGTGGTGAGGAGGGAAACAAAGCATGATAAAAACAGTTCAAGTCAAGTCTGAAGCTCATTCGCTACCTCACAAAATTATACAACACTTTTTATATGGCTACAAATTCCATTCACAAACCCTTCGAACAATGATCTCCAACATACTAGACCCTTGATTTTCAACCAGCATACTAGTGAACAGTTTATTTAATACAATTTTTTGCTAAACCGCAGATTTTTTCAACCAAAAACAGTACCACGAATCAAAAAAGAGACTTGAAAAAGACTACTAGACCACTGTAGAAACCTGCGTATGGAACCATTCGACAGAAGGATGGATTTCAGGTAAAGGGCGAGTGATGTGGTGATATTGGTCTGTGATCTGAACCGTGTGCGTTTTGGTGCTGGCGATAGACTTACACGTGGAGCGGGGGCACGGGGGAAGGCTCGTAGATGTACCGGCCCTGGGCGTGTCTGTCGTCGATGGGCACGGGCGGGTGGAAGGTGGGGAAGAACTGTGGAGCGGCTGCAAGAGGAAGAAAAAGGTTAGAGAAACATGTTAGTGAGAGTTTACTTTGGGTTTTTGAACAACATCAGGCTTATGAGGTAAGATTAATAGTTTATTAAAGGAGTAAACTTTGGCACTTAGACACTGGCTCGGGTTCTGCTTTTGGTTGATTAATCGGTGAACTCCAAATGGATATCCTGCTTATGAAAGGAGAGAGATGTTATGATTTTGCCAGCCAACTTTTAAAGATGTCCAAAGAACTACTTCAGTTGGCAGTTCTTTCCGGGAGAGGGCATGTAAAAAGGTTTCAAGCAAATGATTCTTTCGTTATTTGAAGGATTCTGTGAGGACCTTTCCCCATTCAAAGGAGTTCATGAAGAGTGAAAAAGACAAGTTAGAGTTTCCAAAGTGCTGCATACACCAGGTAAAAACAATACTACAATATCCATGGTCTTCTACATAATAAAGATTTACAATTTTTGATTATTTAGGCAGTTGTTTAGTTAATGTTGCTCTAGTCTTGGTTTAGTTTAAAGCATCTATATCACGCAATTTTCTGATCTGTTTTAATATTGTTTCTTCAAAAACATTCTCTCAAACGATCATTAGCTGTTACAAGAAGTGCTCCACTGTGTTTTTAAACTCCACACATTTGGATGATGATTAAAGGCAACAGGTAGCTGTTGCTCTTGAAAACTACCAAAATAACTGAAATATCATGATATCGTTTCACCAAAAGTCTCACAATAATATCGTAGATTGTCAAAATATATCAAATTACAAGTTCCTTTGTTTAAATGCATTGTTTTATAGAAGCAATAATAATAAACAACTAATACAGCTAATAAACATTGGGATCTACATATCCCATGATTTATTTCAGTGCAAACAACATGAAGAAATATCTTTTTTACTTGAAATCTTGGGAGTATGATGGTAATAATTCACACCACAAGGTATTTTAAAAGCAAAAAAAGTTTCCTATCTACTTTTTATTATATTAGCCTTTCCAAAATATCTGAATAAATACTGTACCGTAAGATGCATGTCGTGATAATATCGTACTAAGAGATTTAGATATCGTTACAGCCCTACTTGATGACATCACAAGGTGGAACAGTGCAGTTTGAGCTTTGAAGATGTATACAGACTAATGATAAAGGATTACTCAAACATGTGTGAATGAAACAAAACATATCTCCAGGTCTGTTTTTGATGCGTTAACAATATTATAACATGGCTTAAAGCTCAGAAGAATCTATTTTGTGTAATATAGGACCTTTAAAGCTTTGATCTCGACAAAGCTTGTCAGAATGATTATTAAACATTAAATATTCTTTTTTACCCCTCATACGATGAAGCTCTATATTGGGAACATTACTGGCTAGCTGCAGCTAAAAAGATTTGACTTTTAGTGACCCACTTAAAAGAGCCCTTAATATTTTTATCTAAACATCTTGAGGCTGAACTTCAACAAAATTAAGAAAACAGGAAGAGCATCTAAACGGAGCATTGAGAGCTTAGCCAATGGATTGTACAATGATGTATGGAAAATGAATTCGCATAATATCGGCTTCCAAATCCCAGTTTATTTTTATCCCTGAAATTGTGCATGTTCTGCTGGATTCCCATGTTTATACTCCTCCTCTAACCTTGACGGCTCTACTCGGTGTAATCGTAAATATGGAATTTAGTGCTGCAGCTGTGCGCCCATTGTTAGACAAGCCGCAACAAGTAATACAAGACTTTTCTCAGTGCGGCCTCCTGCAGTAACCACTGGTGGAAAGTGCTGTAGTGCAAACACTGTGTGACTTTACTGAAGTGCATTTTGAGGATATTATAATATTTTCACTGATACATTTCAATTTATATTTATTTATTTTTACATTTATGTACTTGATTGAAGTAAAACATTTTTGTATTTGCGATGCCTCCATTCTTGACTGGCAGTAGTTGGATAAGAAAATGTGGCAATCATGCTTTTTTTTTTTTTTTTTTTGTCAAATTCTAGTTTTAACTTAAACTTTACTAAGTACATTTGAAAGTGGTTACTAATAATGAGAAAGTCCATGAGTAAACGTTTGGCCCTTTTATCTATACTAAGTACTAAAATTCTGGCAGCACCAAGACGCCATTAAAACGCATATGTGTGACTTTATTTTACAACTCTGCGCCATAACCTTTTAAATAAACAATCTCGTGGTCTAATTAATCGAACTCCGCAGACTGCACGATCACGTTATTGCCCAACACATGTTACTTTACGGCTTGTTACGGCGGGACTTTTGCCAAGCCGAGTATCACCACCCCGGGGCGATGCGCATGTCGACATATGCATACCTCCACGGCTCTCCGGGCTGCCAGCGCTGTGTGTTTGTGCCGGTAAACAGCTGCTGCAGAGGTGCGAGAGGGAGTAAAAGGGGGCAGATCTGGCAACCCCGCTGCTCCACAAGTGCCGTTCATGCTAAGTAGAGCTGCCCTGCTAACAGTAACTCGTGATTCACTCATCTGGGCCGGAGCGTGCAAGGTACACGTACTGTGAGCAAGTAGAGTCTGATGAAGTTAACTGCACGAGTCGTAAAATTTGACTATTAGGAAATTTTCCCACTTGAAACTTCATTATTGCTGCCAGAGGAGTTATAATTGGTTTATATGGTCTGTGGCAATTCTAGCTATACAAGTTTGCTGGTTTGCTAAGTCTTATTTTTATTTTACATCTATATATACTGAAAAATAACATTAAAGATGATTCAAGATAGATTATCTGCCGAAAAGACACAATCCATCACCTGCTTGTTTGTATACATACACCACTGCTCTAGCTGGAATGTTCCACAGTGGACACGTTTACATGATGTTTTTTAACTGTTCTGAATTAAATAGTTTGGAATTAAAATATTCTCCTTCAAGTTTACATGGAAATAATAATTCCGAATTGAGGTTTACATTGAAAACTTTAAATCGTCTTTATTTAATTCCGCTCAGCGTCTGGATGTTGGGACGTATTTGCATCTACCGGAAGAAAAAACACACTTCAGCTGCAACTGTTTTTTTGTCATCTCGGTTTGACGTTACGCCACTGACACAGACTTTTCCTCACGCTTTACGTCTGTCACATCTGCTGAGGAAGACAAGGAAGAGTGTTGGAGAAGGGAGGAAGAAGACAAACTGAGTCAATGGCTGCTCTACCTCAGCCCACTCCCGCATCCTGCTCACAAATCCAAAGAGACATGGATGAAAGTCCGAAACCAGGAGTGGTGGAGCCGGATCGTCCGGATCGCGTCAGAAGGGCGACCCAATGAGCATGTGCTTAATGACCAGAATTATTTTTAAGAGAAATAAACGTTTACATGATTGAGAAATAAATTAATTCCGCTTTAAAATCAGAATAAACCACCCAATTACTTTAGAATTAAGTTAAATTCTGAATAATAATTTTCATTAGGAAACAAGTGTTTACATGGTCTATTTAATTTGTATGCAGAATTAAATAATTTTTATTTGGAATTAAAGCTCTCATGTAAATGTGGCAAGTATGACATTAAACAGTTCTACCTCACATTTAAGCAGTTACAGATGGTTTTATAGCTCAAAATACTTAGAAAAACAGGTATCCTGACCATTAGTGGGGTTGCTTCTCTACTGATCTGACCTACAACTTCTGGTTTGGTCTCCATGGAGACAGAAAGGCCCAATACCATACTCTGAAACATTCCAGAAGCAAAAACTTTTCCATGGAGAAAAGTTGCACCTTTAAGTGATACAGTACAGAAGCCCTTTTAGGTCCATGTAGTAAATTTTGAAGCGTAAACTTGTCTGTAATTATTCAATAACACTAGACGAAAAACATCCTCTCAAAGTAGACATTACCAAGTTATTTCTCTTCTTTTAATGATCTGGATAAGTTAAAAAGCCTCTATATTCAAGCCAAGATATCCAGGTGAGGTGATGTAATGTAAGTGCACTTGAAAATCTAAGACAACTCCCAGCAGAAACTGTAGCACAGCTGTTTACACTGTCTCCACAAGTGAGAAATAGCCGTGTAGAATTTAAAAGTACACAGTATGAATTCAAACGTTCTAAAAATATTTGATTTTTATGTGTAACTTTATATGCAACTTCAGAGTCACCTAATTAGCCAATAGTTTGCTCAGACTTTTTCTCATGACTTCACAATCCACTGCAGAGTCCCTCATTTTTAATTTTCAAGTTCAGTGACCAAGTCTGAGACGGAACCAGAGGCAAAATTGATTAAACTGGTCAGCAATATTGTCTCAAAGCAAGAAGCTCTGAGGTTCAAATCCCTGACCGGATCATTTAGGGCTTTGTATCTGGAATTTGCATGTTCTCCTCATTACGGCATTGACAAGGGGGTGGGAATAGGTAGTATAAATCATGTAAGTAAACCCAATTATTAACATTGCTTCCATAGACAGATTTATTCACATGTGGATTCATAGTTATTCATGTTATGTGAATCACAAGTTAGCGAAGACCTGATGGTAAAAATGTATTCACAATTACCCCAGAGTTAAAACTTTCAATTCAAAAGCTTCACCTATCAATACATGTATACCAATTGAGCAAGTATTCACACAAAAAAGTACATAATAATAGACCACATATTAATATTTCAAGGACCCATATTAGGGGGTGGGCAACATCTTGATATTTTAAATAAAGATAGATATATTTTAAGCTTGATATGGATTCTGACATATCGTACATATCGATATAATGCTTATATTTAATTCTGATTTCGCCGTTTCGCTTGTTTGCCTTCTCTGTGCTTGTCCCCGCCTCCCTAATTTTGCTCGCTTGTGTCTCACTCCTCACTACCGCGTGAATCCCGAAAGTTGGCGCCAGTGAAAAGCTTCTAGCACCACAAAACTTTTCCACCATTTACAGACAGGACCATCAGCAGCACATCCTCTGTCACAGAGAGAACACTCATATTCCACTGAGTCGTGTCCTTTAGTCCAGAAGAAGCTGAAGCGCATCAGCTGCACAAGGAGCTG